ATATGATAAATTATAGATTATATATCACATATTACATATCACATATTATAGATTATATAATATATATCATATATAGATACAATTATATCTTATATATATCATATATATGTATATATATGTGTGTGTGTACATATATATATATATATAAAATTAATTAATATACTTATAGTAATTATTATAATGATAATTAATTTTCTTCTCCTGCCCAGGGACATTTAAGGCTTTATTCCAATTTTTTGGACCGGTGAGAACAGCATCAAAGGGCCCTTAAAAGTTGGAGTGAGAAGTGAAAAAGCAGCATGATGAATTCCTAATTATTGTTTTATTCCTTCCTAAAAATTATTATAATTGTTCAAATTAATATATTTTGTATATAATATATTGAATTTATATTATTAGTATGTATAATAAAACTATAATGATATATATAATTACATATATGTATGATATATACTAGATATTATATATATATTATATAATTATTAAACTATAATTATTAATTATAAATTATTAAACTATAATTATTAATTATAATTTTTAAAATTATAATTATATATAATTAAAAATAATTATTATATATTAATTTTAAAATTAGAATTAATATTAGTATTAATATTAGTATTAATGTTAATGATAATGATAATGATGATGATGATAATAATACAAATAATACTAATACTAATACTAATACTAATACTAATACTAATAATTTTCTTTTCCTCTCCAGGGAGATTTCAGGCTTTACTCCTATTTTTTTGAGCTGATATTTTAATTATATGTAGTGATATTTTGTGGTATTGAATGCTGTTTTGTGATATTTTATTATATTTAGTGATATTTAATAATATTTTTTGATATTTAATTTTATTTTGTGATATTTAGTGATTTTAGTAATATTTAACATTAATTATATTGTTGTAATGATATTTAAGTCTATTTAGTAATATTTACTTATATTTTGTGATATTTAGTGCTATTTAATGATATTTAATGATACTAATTTAAGTATATTATATTATTATATTTATTATTATATTTATTATATTATTATTATATTTAATGCTATTTACTGATATTTAATGATATTTAATAATGTATATTGATATTTAATGATATTTGTTTAAAGCTATTTAATGATATTTTATACTATTAATTTAATGCCATTTAATGCTATTTTGTGATAGTTAATTAACTTTAGTCGTTATTTTATTAATTAATAAAATATTTTATGAATGTATTTTATTAGTTTTATGAATCTATTTTATTAATTAATGAAATTTTCCATGCTCTTTAATGTGTTCTCAGTTTTCCAGTGCTCTCTTGCATCCCTTTGATACTTCCAAGGAATTTTTCCCCCCGAAAATGTGCTGGAAAAAAACCGGAATTCTGCCATTATTGAGGGGCAGGAAGGGATTTAGAAACAAGGGAAATGTTGGGAAGGGAAATTCATGGAATTATGGAATACTTTGGGTTCCAAGGTTTGAAATCCACGGGCAAGGGATTTAAAAAATAATTAAAAAGAACAATTTTTGGTGAAAAGATTTTAGGGATGCAACAAGAATCTCCTGGAGGGCCAAACCTCCATCCTGAGGATAAATGGGAAAAATCAAATTCCCTTTTTCACCTGGAACAGCTCCGATTTGATCCTTTTCTTCCTCCAGCAGCTCCTGATGGAATTGATCCTCCACAAAGAGAGGAAAATCTCATTTTATCCCTTCCAATGGGTTTCAAATGGAAATTAAAACTAATTCCAAACCTGTTTTCCAGAGGATTTTTCCCCAGCTCTGGGAATATTTCCTTGCTACATCGCCCAGAGATGGGAAAACCTCGCGGCTCTGGGACTTCTCGGCACCAGAAAAAGGAATAAATGACATTTTGTGCCTTTCTGCTGGGGCTTCCTTGCACAAAGGCGCTGCAGCTGCTCCCAAATTCCAGCCTTTTAAGGGAGAACTTCCAAGGAAAAGCTGGAATCCGTTCTGGGCCTTGTGCCCTTCTGTTTATTATCGATTTGTCTATTTCATTTCCTCAGCTCGGGTGAATCCGTAAAATTCCAGGAAAAGCTGCAGAAGGGCATTAAATGAGGGGGTTGAATCCCAAAGACTTTTCCAGGCCTTGGGTAAAATGATGGAATGTTACTCTCACTTCCTCTTTTACTTCAGATGAGAGGGCCTGGAGCTGGGCCAAGCTCAGTCTCAAACCTTTATTTTGCACCCAGAAATCCAGAAAAAATTCCCTGGATTCATTTTTTTGTGGCACTTGAGGCTCAAATTTGGGCCTTTCCTTTCTGTTTATGAGGCTTTTTCACAAGAATTTCCTCAGCTCAGGTAAATCCATAAAATTCCAGGAAAATCTGCAGAGGGTCATTAAACAAGGGGGGGTTAATTCCAGGCCTTGGGTAAAAAATTCCATGGAATGTCATCCCTCTTTTACTTAAAACCAGAGGAGGGCCTGGAGCTCTGTGCCAAGCTCAGTCTCAAACCTTTATTTTCACCCAGAAATCCAGAAAAAAATTCCCGGGATTTGTTTTGGCAGCACTTTGAGGCTCCAAACTGCTCTGTGCCCGATCCAAGGCTCCCATTCCCACCAGATCTGCCAGGATTTGGAGGGATTTTTACCCAAATCTCGGCTTTCAAACATCAAAACATGGCGAGGGATCCGTGCTCCCCTTGGCTTTCCCTTTTCCCCACCCCGAGGCGCTGCCAGGGAGGGATTTGGATCCCCAAGGAAATCTTTGGATCTAAAGAACCACAATTAAAGAGTTCAGGCCTCGCATTCCTTGGATTGTGGGATCAAATCCCATGGGAGAAGCAGTTTGGCTGGAAAATCCCTGTCCCCTCCCTCCCCAGGCCCAGAAAAGAGTCACGGAATTCCTTCTGCTGTTTCCCACCTCAATCCTTCATTCCCAAACCCCCCAAGCAATCCCAACAAAAAGCCTGTGCCCGTTACAAGCGCTACGGTGAAGGAATCAAACAAGGTCCCAAATCTCGGCGTGAGCGTCTGGTGAAGCACAAACTCAACATTCCCAGCGGGATGGAGTCCCAAAGGATAACGAGGAATTCTGATGAGGACCTTGGGAAGCAGCAGCAGCTTCTGGAAGCAAAGCTGGAGGAGCTGGGAAAGGATTTAAAATCGCTGCAGGTACGGGGAGGAATTTCAAGGTCAAAGGGTGGGGGGGGGTTTCAGTCCAAACTCCAGGATTTTGGGAATTCCCCAAATCTGCTAGGCTCCCATCAGCATTCCCATGAAATCAGATCCGTTCTGGATGGTGATGGGAGCCCCGGCGCCGTTGTCCACGAAGATGGAGGTGTACTGCCCGGCCTGCAGGGAGAAGGGAGAAAACAGGGAAGAGCTGACACATTCCAGAGGAAAAACAAGGAACAATCCCATCGGGGCAGCAGGAATTCAGCCCAGCAGCCGGTCTGGGGTTGATCTGGTGGAGGGGATTTGGTGTCGTTTTTATGGAGCGAATCCTTCCTGCCTTGGCGGCTTTTTGGGTGAAGGGGAGGTGGGAAATTCAATTTGGCATCTTGGCAATGCTGGGGTGGAGCTGGGAAAGGGAAAGATCTTCAAAATTGATTATAAATTTATTAGAAATTTATATTAAAATCAATAACAATTTATTGGAAAAATTGAGTTGTTCATAGAGGGAAGCTGGTTCCTGTGCCTCCAATTCCAAATGAGAAACCCAAGTCAAGTTTTTCCTCCTGATCCAGCCCCAGGTGAGGAATTTCCCTTCCTTAAATTCAGAAAAAAAGGTTCCTAAATCCTCCCCCACCCCCAGGGGAGTGTCCAGCCCGACCATCCCATGTCCTGCCCAGAAATTTGGGGCAAAAATTCCCAATTTTCAGGGACTCACCTGCAGCTGCAGCAACCCATGGACATAAATAGTGAAGATTTTGCTGTTGCTTTCCAGCCCAGCAATGACTTCCAAGGACCTAAAAGAAGAAATAAACAGATTAAACCCCACAGTTGTGTGTGGAAGGATAATTATCCCTCAATTTCCCTGGAAATCAGAGCAGCTGGAGAAAAAAGATGAATTTTGTCTGGATTTTTGATGTTTGGAAGGGTTTAAAGTCAGGTTGGAGCAAGCTGGGATGGTGAAAGGTGGCCCATGGGAAGATGATCTTTAAGGTCCATCCCATAATTCCATAATCCTGTAATTCCATGATTCCATAATTCCATTACTCCATAGTTCCATGACTCCATAATTTCATCATTCCATAACTTAATAATTTCATAATTATATTGTTTCATAATTCCATAATTCCATTATTCTGTAATTCCATTATTCCGTAATTCCATGATTCCAGCTGCCTTAAAAGTAAATCAGGAGCAGCTTTTCCTCACTGCAGGAATGATGGAAAATCCACAGAACCTCAGGACTTTGGACACAGAACTCAGCTGGAGGCAGGACTGGGAACCACCATTTCCCAGAGACTTTTCCAGGGTCCTGTCCTCTCTATTCCCACCCAGAGCAGGCACTGAAAATCCCTTTGGATCCACCTCCATCCCAGTTTGGTGAGCAGCACAATGGTTTGGATCTGTTCCAAAATTCCCTTTCTTTTCCAGGGATGGAAGGTTTATTCCACCCGAACCACGAATTTCCGCGTAAGAAAGGACAAATTTTGTAATTCTGGGGAGGATTTTGAAATCAGGGATCATGGACAAGCAACAGAAAAAAAATCATTCCATAATTGTCCCACAGCTCAAAATCCAGGGAGAACGCCACATCAGCTTTTGGATCAGGGAGAGCTGCTCCCTGCAGAATTCCCAATTCCCGAGCCAAATTCAGGTGTTTGGGCAGCTCCTTGGGACAGCAACAACCAGCACAGCTCAGTTAAACTCGGTTTTAAGCTCCCAGCACCTCCTCCCTCCCTGCCCACCGTCGTTTTTCCTTCTTTTCCCACTTAAACCAACTCCTTTCCTCCTTTCTTTATTTCTTTTCCAGTGGCAAGTTCCAGCGTGTTTTTCCCAGGATAAGTGAAATGCGGGAGCCACTTGGCACCTCCTCAGCCGAGGCTGTGTCACATCCTGCCCAAATCCTGCCTGCAGTGGGGAATTCCCAGCGCTCCAGTTCCCATGGCTCATCCCAAAGCCCTGGGGGCTCTTCCAGCTCTGTGTGGGGATGGATGGATGGATGGATGGATGATGGATGGATGATGGATGGATGATGGATGATGGATGGATGGATGGATGATGGATGGATGGATGGATGATGGATGATGGATGGATGGATGGATGATGGATGATGGATGGATGGATGGATGGACGATGGATGGATGATGGATGGATGGATGGATGGATGG